TTGCTACTCACGTAAGAACACGTGAAATTTGACGTTACTGTGCAGCCAGAGCAGCTGGAGCGCTGAAACTTTCTGAGCGCTACCCAGGACCGTGTTTGAGTAACTGCCGGCGAAGAGAGCACTCACGTTGCTACTCACGTGAAAACACGTGAAACTTGACGCAACTCTGGAACCAGAGCAGCTGGAGTACTGAAACTTTCTGGTCATTATCCAGAACCGTGTTTTACCAACTGCGGGCGAAGAGAGCGCTCACATTGCTACTCACGTATGAACGCGTGAAATTTGACGTAATCCTGCAGCCAGAGCAACTAGTGTGCCCAAACTTTTTGAGCGCTTCCTGGGGCCGTGTTTATGTGATCGCAAGCAAACAAAGCATTCACGTTGCTGCTCACGTACGAACACGTGAGGTTTGGCATGACTCCGCAACCGAAGGACCCTGCGCGCTGAATTTTTTGACATGGATTTGGAGTCATTGTAATAATTTCCAACACTCGTGGTGGGCAGTCACAATTCTTTTAGCTGGAAGGATTTGCCGGGAAGAGCGTGCCACTGTCGAAAAACCTGCGAGGTAACTATGCAAAAAACGCATCCTCGTACCGGCAGCCGGTACGCTTTCGACTAAGTTTCAGGAATTGGGGCGAAACAAAGTTTGTGCAATTCAATTTTTGATTTTTCATGCAGATTTATATCATTTTGCACCGAAACGATTCAAAAATGGAATTTTTTAGTGAATAATAAGTAGCAGCTGTTAAAAGGCCGAATCATGAGTGAACAGTCCAAGTAGAGCGGCCGAGTAGATAAATGATCGGGAAGCCAAACAGCGAGTCGAGCTTTTGTCACTGCATTACCAGGGCTAGCAGATAACAGTTCTGGTGAAAAATTTATTAGCTGAGAGTACTGTTTGATAATTTCAGTGATAAAATATCGTTGAGATGATGTGTTTCAGATTTACGAGCATCAAATGAGGTGTATGGAGCGACTTGGGCGATGGGATGAATTGAATGATCTGGGGAAGAAAGCATTTTCGGAACTGTCGCCAACAACAAATGCTGCAAGAAAGCAGAGCATGGCAATAATTGCGGCACGAGGAAGTTGGGCTGTTGGTAGGGCTATTATTTTTATAGAAGTTATAGAAACAGCAAGGAAAGAAAGGACTATGGGAGCCCAGCCAAAATAGAATTTTATGCTGCTTGATGGTATTTGCTACTTTTATAGTGATTTTGCTGCGCAACTAAAGAAACGAGAAAGCTAGTTAGCGTCAGA